TGGGTCCCAGGGCCAGCTCATTTCTTGCATTCATGTGCTGCAGAATGCCTGCCTCCAATCTTCATGGGCACGCAGGTCTTTGCACCCAGTGAAGTCTCGGGTCCAGGTTTGTTTAGGTGCCATTTATTACTTGGGAGACAAAATAACTTCATATATTCCTAGGGTCACACTGTTCAGTTGATGGAATTGGATCAGAAAGTGGTCTTGAGTCCCCATCGTCAGGGAAACTGAGGCCTGAAGGGCTAAGGGACTTGCCCAGGGCATTTCAGGCAGAGCTTGAACTTGATTTCCTGACTCCATCTGCTTACATTTGGAGGAAATCCCTTTGTGACCTTGGGCAAGTCACTTTCTCTCTGAGCCTCAGTTTTCTCATCTTTGCATAGTGGAAATGACACAGTTCCCAGAGCCTGTGTCCCCTAGAGAAGCTGGGGAGCCTCAGTTCAGCTCAGTACCGGTCCTCTGGGTGTCCTCTGCCCCCATTCCATGAGAAGTGAGAGGGTGGGACTGGCTGACCTCTCAGTGTGGAGTCTAGGATCCGAAGCAGAATTTCTTAACCAGAGGTCCATGAACTTGTTTTGGAAGATATTTTGCTAGCGTTATTGCACATAATTGGTTTCCTGCATTTTCTTTTATGCATTTGGAAATGTTATCCTGCAAAAGGGGTCCAGGACACAGAAAAGGTGAAGAGCCCATTCCCAATGCCTTCCCCAGGCTACAGTTATAGATTACTTTTGTGCGTGGGTGCCCCCGTTTTCAGAAGGAAGTCTAGCCTGGAAAGGTTAGGATCTTGGCAGTCTCGATGCCTGCTACCTTCCATCAGGCCCTGGGGAGTAAACACTGGAGTGGGGATGCAAAAGGATTTTGTAGCCCAACACCCATTAACCATAATGGGAACCCTACTGCTAAATTCCCATGCAGCACACAGAATATTTATTTCTTAATGTTCTTTTAATGTAACTTTTCTTGGGCGACTCTTTACTGCCGAATATGAAATGCAAGATTCCTCTTTTATGGGCCATTTGGAGTGATGGATTTCTGTTTGTGAATTTCTGTTCCCTTGCCCCTAATGGCCGAGCGTGGGTTATGGCCACACATTCTGGTGTGGTAATAGCAGAAGCCTTGAATTGTCTATCTGTGTGGCCTATGCAGTATCTGTGCCCTGAAAAGCAGAGAGATAAAAGGGACAAAGGAGGGAGAGATGGGCCCACTTTGGAAGTGGCTGCTTCAGAACGAGCCACTGATGTCTAGAAGATGTGGTGTGTTCCTCAGTGAACTGAGCGCATGCCTAATCACGGGGACCAGAGCGCAGGCTGGCCTGGGTGGAGGGAGGTTCAGTGGCTTTCTGCCGAGCCCGTCAAAACGGCCCCTGAGGAGACTCCACATTTGGCTTTTTAACTGGATACCACTGGATACCACAATCTCTGTCCACACGGGGATGGCTCAGGGGGTCCACAGCGTCTTCTTTTGAAAAACACTCTATTAGTGCCTCATCAAGTGGAAACACCTCAAAGAGAATCAGGGAGTTTTAGGAATTGCTTATGTTGTGATTCCAAGTCCTAGGAGTTGTTGCAGAGAGCAGTCTAGATTCTAAGTCAGGAAGACTTGAGTTCAGATGCTTCCTCTAATATTTACTGTGTGGCCACTGGCAAGTCACAAACCTCTCTGAACTTCAATGTCCTCATGGGTGAGGATAAGTCTAGAGAAGTATGACTCTGCCCTGAGTCCCTACCTTGGATCTTTATTTCTTAAGGAGCCCCAGCTATACTACTCCTTTCACTTCTGGCTCATTCTCTGGTCCGTAGCTCCTCCCACTCCCCTTCCCCACCCACTCACACACCTTTCCAGCTCTTCCTCAGGATCTTTTGTCTTTTTTCCTCTACTAGAAAGTCTGCATCTCAATAGGAGGGATCATGTTATCTCTCCAGGGCTTAGCACAGTGCCAGACACAGAGTAAGCACTTCATTAATGCTCTGTCAACTGACCCATCCATCCATCCATCCATCCATGCATCCATCCACCAACCTATCCATTCATTCATTCATCCATCCATCCATCCATCCATCCATCCATCCATCCATCCATCCATCCATCCATCCATCCATCCATCCACCCATCCATCCACCCACCCATCCACCTACCCACACATCCATCCACCCTCCCATCTATCCATCCATCCATCCATCCATCCATCCATCCATCCATCCATCCATCCATCCATTCATTCACCCATCCACCCATTCATTCACCCATCCACCCACCCATGCACCCACTCACTCACCCATCCATCCATTCATCTGTCAGATGGGGGAAATAACACCTTCAGTACCTGCCACACAGGTATATTGTGAAGTTCAAAAGAGATGATGTATGTCAAGTGCTCCACAGACATTAAAGCAGTCTTTAAGCATGATCAGGAAGCACTGCTATCAAGACAATGGCAGCATTGAACAGCTGGGGATTAATTCTAGTGTGATCCTTAACTTAGAGGTGGGAGGAGCCCTAGAGATCACCATTCCTCACTTTTCAGAAGGGGAATCTGAGTCCCAGAGAAGTTAAGGGAACTCGAGGTCACCAAGTGGGGACTTGAACCCAAGCCTTTTGACTGCAAATCACATACAGCCCATGGCATCTTGCTTTTAAGCTATTACTGTGGTGGGTATGGTTCATTAATACAGTTCACGGCTCTGCTTTAGAAATAATAATAATAATAACTGCAGCTCACATTTACATGGAGTGCTTTAGGCTTGTGAAGTGCTTTACAAACAGAATCTCACTTGATCCTCACAATGGACCTGGGAGGTAGGGGCTATTAGCACCCTAAGTTTACAGATGAAGAAACTGAGGCAGATGCCCAGGATCACATAGCTAGGAAGTGTCTGAGGCTGGGTTTGCAGTTGGGTCTTCCTGACTCTGGGCCCCATGCTCCATCCATTGAGCCACTGATACAGCTTTTTAATGGGCAGAGGAACAGTTTCAGCTCAAGCAGTAGACCAATGTCTTCACATGATGAGAAAGGTGGCCCACATATCTATTTGACAGAAGTTCATACACTTAAGCAATGTTTATTGAAAGCCCTCACTAGCCTGGCTCCAGGGGAGATGTGTGGGAGGGAGCTGGAGTGTGCAGCCTGTTCTTGTATAATTCTATCATCTCACTAAATATGGAGGGAGAGGAAATGGACCCATCCAATTCCAGGAGACAGTGAGGGCAGCTTTTAACACCATAGCTTCAGTCACAAGGAGATCACCTTTGTTTTTCCTGGTGATAGAACAGGATCGCTTTAGTATCTACCCCTGCCTGTGATTACCAGAGAAGAGTTGAATTTTCATCTTGGTGAGGGAAAGGGCAGAGGAATAATGAATAGAACTTAAATTCACTTTACTGACAAGTCAAGATGTCCTGGGACTCAGTCTAGGTCTCTGGACATTCTGGCATGGTGTTTCCTAGAGCCTTTGAGTTCAGCTCTGTTGAAAGTCATCTCCCCTCAAGGGTATGTAGTGGAGACACTGGTGACATTTTTGTTCCCTTTTGGGAGTCCCTCTGAAGCCTGGAAAGTCTTACCAGGAAATGATTTTGGCTGTGGGTGAATTGTCAAATACATGGCATCCTACAACTGGCCTATCTAAGCAGGTTTCCAGACAATGATTCTGCCCAGGTAGTCTCTGCTAAGGTCTCTCCTCATCACACACACTGTTTATGTTGCTGGGAGGCTGATCGAGATATTTTCTTGCTGGTGTAGGCTACAAGCACCAAGGTAGTAAATGCACTTGGTCTATGGTTTGGAAGGCATCAAAACAAGTGATGGGCATCTCAGAAACCAAGGTAGGCTGGTGCAGGAAACAATCTGTCACTAGTCAGGAAAAGGAAGGCTTCAGGTGATAGGGAAGCATAGAAGGCCACAGAGAATGGTGGGATCACCAGAGAAGCCCTCTCACCTGCCAAGCAGTGCCATCACCCAGAGAACAAAGGACTCACTCTTGGCTCTTATTGAGGGAAGTTGGCATTAAGCTCATCTTTCTGGTGGAAGTTTCCCCAGGAAAGAGGATGTGTTGGTTTGAGGTTTGTATGCCTTGAATATTTTTTTTCCTCCATATAGCCCTAGGATCATGTTGGGATATTCTTGCTGTGAAAGACAAATCCTGGAGTGAAACCCTGGCTTAAATTAAAAAAAAATGACCTTACTCCAATATCAGGTACATGCAAATGATAATCATGGAATGAAAAAGAAAGAAACACTCAGCAACATATCAACATAAATGGAAGCCTTCCCAAACCATCATCAGTCTTCATTTGAGACATAAAGCGTTGTGAAAAATAAAGAACCACATAGCTCTAGTGTAGAAAAAACCAAGCAAACGCTGGCCTAGTGTCGGTAAAAATCCCTCCATAACTAAATATTGTAGTTTTGCATTATGAAAGTCTGTGGAAATGTGCTATTTAAAAGCCACAGTTAGACTGGCCCAGGCTGCCTGTGACAAATCCTACACACATTGTTCAGAAAGATGGCGGAAGTCGGATATTAGGTTCAGATACAGTCCCATAGGCAACGTCCACTTACGAGGTGTGACTGTCAAGCAATCGTGTGCCTTTTCTTCATGGCTCATAAACTGGCTCTGAAGGCGGGAAAAAAGGAACCCAAACTATTTTCAGCAATGGTGGTATCACTGGGACATGTGTATGGCCTCCCAAGCTGACAGCAATCGCGGTATCATTGGGACACACGTATGGCCTCCCAAGCTGACTGCCTTGGAGGAGACAATGCTCATTTGGCTGGATAAAATTCTCGTGTATTGGTTTAAAGAGGGAAAAAAATGGGCTATGTTACATGATAGTCACACCTCGTACCTATTCATTTGTGGTAACCTCTTGAGTATCGAGCAGTACTCATCTCCAGGTCCTGCTAATTTTCCTTTTCACATTGGCCGGCCTCAAGGTGAAGGTTAAGACCCTGAAGTTTGATACTCTAGATGACAGCAATTACAGCTTTGTGCATTTATTCTTCAGAACACCGGTTTGATCTCAGCGTGAGTGACAGCCAGCGATTCTGGCTTCCAGTCTGGTTGAAAGAAGTGGATATTGAAGGCCCGAGCCCAGTTCTCAAAGACACGCTTCTCTGTGATGAACCGATGATGACTCCCCTTCCGTCCCCGCTCGTGTGAGATGTACATCGTGCATTCATCAGGTCCCAGAGGCTCATAATAGTGATAAGGTACCGAAGGGGGGTTGGGGTCCCTGAAAAAAGGAGGAAAAAACTCAGAAAATGGAAAATGAGAGATTGAAGTCAAAGATGTTCCCATGATAGATGGAAAAGGAGGTTATCTTTAACAAGCAGACAAGCTCATATAATTCCCCTCCCCAGTTAAACTAAATGTTAACAACTGTCATATCAGATATTTAAGCAATAAGCATATGGAGAGATTCCGCGTTTGTCAAATGTAAGTGTTGGTAGCTGCCCAGCAGGAAGAGATATTGAGGGGTCTGTTGGCCACTGTGGCTGCCACTGCACTAGGGAGGGGTCCATACCAAGTTGGTGGGTTGACACAAAGTCCCTCTCTTACCAAGTGGGGAAAGTCGTTGATCCTGGCCCATTTCAAGTCCCTAGTCATGGGTCATGAAAAGACAGGGAAGCATAGCGTGGAGGAAAGAGCATATGTGAGATATTTGGCCCTGGAATTTGGGGACTTGGGTTCAGATCCCAACTGGGGCACTTTCTGGATTTTTTACCTTAGGCAAGACACATGGCCTCCCTGGGCCTCAATTTCCTTATATTCAAAGTAAGAGTGTTTGATCAGACCACCTCTAGATTTCTGGTCCTTTGAATAAGCATGAGGGCATCCTTTGTTTCATTCCCTCTGTCTCTTGGACAGACACTCATCTTTTTAACATCAGCATTCTTCCAGTTCTGCTGTACAGGTTCAAGTCACGGGAGGTGGCTGTAGTCTCCATTGGGTTGGCCAATGGAGATAAAGAATGCGTTCATAAGTCACAACATCTTCTAGGGGGAAAAGAACAAATGCTCTTGATCATCAACACTCAATAATAGGTAGTGAGGTGAATTTCACAGGATTTGGTTTCCATGGAAAAGGGAGTTGATGCTATGACTTCCTTTGGCTAGTTCTCAGTTATACTCTATGCTGGATGCTCCCATTCCATCATGATTTAAAATTTCTGTCAACAGAAGAAGTGGTATAAATAATATAATAAAAACTTCCTATAATAAGAAAAGAGGAGGGTCAGCCATGTTGCAGAAGTGAAGGATGGCTGTTGCATATTCAAGAAACCTAGAGTTGAGAACTCAACTCATTTGGTGCCCCCCGCCAAGAGGAAGAATCCCAGAGGAGATGGACTGCAATCACACAATTTGAAAAGTTCAGACCCACATTACTGGAGGGAGTGCCCACATCAGTGAGCTCCGGAGTCAGCGTCGGGCTCTCAGATGCGTTAGAATGCCCTTGAAGGCGAGCTGACTCGTAACATTTAGCGCTGTTTCTGGCACACGGGAAGCATTTAATAAAAGCTGGTCACTGATTGACCCATACTCCAGCCAATTAGTCCCTGAAAAGATGAATCCAAGAGTTAGCTCCAGATTCTTTTCTACTTCATTCCAGCCTACCCTGACTTCTCTGGTGTGCTCTGTTGCAGTTATTGTGAGAAGCTCTTGTGAGAAGCAACTTGATGGAGTGGAGAGCAATTACTGTTTTAGTGACATCTTGTCTTTCTTTATTCTATTCCTACTCCTATGCCTACCATCTAGCATAGCACTAGATATACGCTGCACACACCTGTGCTGAGCACTTTACAATTATTATCTCACAACTACCTAGGAGGTAGGTGCTATTATTATCCCCATTTTACAGATGCAGAAATTGCATCTGTCTCAGCAACTTGCCCAGAGTCACATAGCTAGTTTCTGAGGCTCATTTGAACTCAGGTCCTCCAAACTCAGTGTGCTATCCATTGTGCCACCTAGCTGCCCCTGCCTCATTCAGTCAGTATTAAGTTTTCAGCATGCAGTGTTGAGTTACAGTTTCTATCATTTCCTTGATGAAGATGATACCACTTCCTCTTCTCCAATCAAGGATCTTAGAAGAGCTTGGGCGGTTCCTGAGCCTCGTCATGATAACCTTTCTTTATAATAACATGTGGGTGGTTCCCTGTGCCCTTTTCATCAATCAGTAAATATTAGTTAAGTGCTTAGTAGGTGCCTGGGCACTTAGCCAAGTGCCTAGCATGTACAGAAAGACAAAAACAGTCCTTGCCCTCAAGGGACTCACATTTTAATGTTACCTTCAAAGCATAATTAGGAACAGTAGTAGAAAGGTACAGAGAGGCAGATTTAAGCTTGACATAAAGGAAAAAAGTCCCATCACTTAGAGCAGAGCTGCACAACCAAGCCCTCGGGTGGCTTCGGCCACCCGAAATCCTTCGGCAGGCTGAAGATTGTGCAGGCCTGACTTAGAGCGGTACATCATTTGAATGGCCCACCTTGGGAAGTGCTGGGCTCTCCCCCAGTGAAGGTTTTCAAAGCACAAACTTTGGGGATTCAGGTTGATTCAATCTGATTCAATCAGCCAATGTTGATGAAACACCTACTATGTGTAAGCCATGGTGCTTGGGGCTGGAACATTGTCGAGGGGGATCCTGCCTGGTCATACGTGGGGCAGCATGACCTCTGAGGACCCTCTGTCCGTGGCTAGTGGCTACCTAATTTCTCCCACACTGTTCCATCCTCTCCATCTTGCTTCCTGTAATGTGACCTGCCTGCTGCCAGCTGCATTCAGTTGCCTGTCCCCACCCCCAATAAGAACATGAGCAGCAGAAAGTCTTAGCAACTGCTTTTTCAGTGACACCAGTTAGGTGCAGTTAGGGCACCAGAAACTCGGGCTTTTTACCTGCCATGCCTGAGGCTTTACTCTAAGTCTGGTTCTGTGGTTTCCCAAAGATGCTCTTCCTGGTACGCCCCTAGAACTTTTCACTTTGCTCAGGAGGGATCAATGCACAGAAGGCTTTTAGAGACGCAGCTTAAGCTATCTGGGGGCAAAGATGGAAGTCATTCATCAAAAAGGTGTGGAGACTGCGTGTCTGACAGCAATCAACCTTAGATCTGCTTCTTCTTCAGGTTAAAGTTCCTGCCAGAAGAGAGATTTATTTTTTTGTCATGCATCATTTGAACGTTCTTCATTCTGGCTTGGGAACCTCACTGCATTAATACATTGCACTGTCAACATGCCTGCCTCATGAAGGGCTTTTATTTCCAACAGTGTTCACTTTGCCTGGAAAGCCTCATCTTCTTCAAATTTCTGGAGCTGTTCAAATAGAAATGACATTACATAAACTCAAAATCAGTCAACTTTGACCTATTTTAAAATAATTTTTATTGATATTTTATTTTGAAATCGCCTACATTTCCCAACATGCCCTGCATCCTTTCTCTGAAAGCTATCCCTTATAACAAAGAATAAAAAAGAGGGAAAAAACCCAGTTTAACAAAACTAACCAATACATTGAAAATTCTGATAAATTTGGTGTTCCACAGACATATGCCTCACTTTTGCTTTTACATCATCTAAATTTCTCATGGCATCCTTCCCCCTACTCCCTTCTAGAGAACCATCCCTTGTATAAAGAATAAAAGAAAGTAAGAAAAATCCACAAAACAAATTAAAATATCATAAAACTATGATGTTATATGCAGTATTTCATGCCTATGGTCTCCTACTGGAGGGAGGGAGGAAGGGAGGGAGGGAGGGAGAGGGAGAGAGAGAAGAGAGAGAGAGAGAGAGAGAGAGAGAGAGAGAGAGAGAGAGAGAGAGAGAGAGAGAGAGAGAGAGAGAGAGAGAGAGAAAGAAATGTCTTCCATTATTTCTCCCTTAGTGCTAAGTTTGGTCATTAAAATTTCAGAAAATTCAGTCTCCAAGGCTTTGTTGTTGTCCTTTCTGTTTGCATTCTTGTGGTCATTGATTTATTGTTTTCCTGGCTCTGCAACAGTTCATAAAGGTCTTCTCATGATTCTCTGAATTCATCATCTTTTCCAGTACATTTCTTACTTCGTTACCCTAATCGGGTGACATTTGTTTAGCCCTAACTGACAAGCATCTATTTCATTTCCAGTTCTTTGTCACTATGAAAAGTTCAGCCAACATTTGTTAAGTGTTGACTAGATACTGGTGCAGGACTCCAAGGATAAGAATGTAAGCACAGCACAGTCGTCTGCCCTTGAGGAGTTCACAATGAAAGATGCACCAGGAAAATTCAGATACCAAGGAATGTTAAGATGTCTCACACTCAACATGTCCAAATCTGACCTTGTCTTTCACCCCCAAACCTCCCCTCTTCCAGATTTCCTATTGCTGTGAGGGCACCATCATCTCCCACCTCGGCTCACGACTAAGGGGCAAACCTTGACTCCTCACTCTCTCTCATCCACTGTATTCACTTTGTTGCCAAGACCTGTTGATCTAACTCTCAGAACATCTCTCCAACATCCCCTCTCCTCTCCTCTGATGCTACCACCACTCTTGTGCAGGCCTGCATGACCTCATGGCTGGGCTACTGCTCTGGCCATCTGGTGGAGTTCCCTGCCACAAATCTCTTCCTACACCAGTCCTTCCTCCTCAGCTATCAAGGAGACCTTCCTAAAGTGCATAATTGCCCATGACACCCCTCACTCCCTATTCAGTAAACTCCAGTAGCTCTCTATTACCTCTAGGATCAAATAGAAAACCCTCTGCTTGGCATTCAAAGCCCTTTATAACCCAGCCCCACACCCCTCTATCTTTGCGGTCTTCTTAACACCTTCTCCTTTTCCCCACCCCATTGGTTATCTCCAGTTTATCCTGAACATGGCTTATTTGTACATAATTGTTTACGTATTATGTCCCCCATTAAATGGTGAACTCCTTGAGAGCAATGCCTGTCTCTTACCCTTTGCACATAGGAGGATTTTAATCATGTTAATTGACTGACTGACTGACGTTAGTAGAAACTTAGACAAATTCTGTGTCAACTTCGATTTCAAAAGTGATCTTGTTTGGGGAGCATGCCAAATTCATGCTGCCTTGGCATCCTGAAGAATTAAGCTTTGATTCCACCATGACTCATGTTTTTAATTGATTCATCAAAGTTTAGAACACACTGTTGGAATCAGTCTGGTGACAGACACTTGATGTTTATAAAAATAATACATGACTGACAAGGAGCAGACTGTTGAGAGGAGAACTGAGAACCAGTAG